ATATTGATAATCTCAATCATATAATTGGTAATACTCAATCATATATTGGTAATCCCAATCATATATTGGTAATCCAACCATATATTGATAATCTCAATCATATATTGGTAATCTCAATCATATATTGATAATCTCAATCATATATTGATAATCTCAATCATATATTGGTAATCCCAATCAAATATTGATAATCCCAATCATATATTGATAATCTCAATCATATATTGATAATCCCAATCATATATTGATAATCTCAATCATATATTGGTAATCCCAATCATATATTGATAATCCCAATCATATATTGATAATCTCAATCATATATTGGTAATCCCAATCATATATTGATAATCCCAATCATATATTGATAAACGATGTGGCAGCATGAAGACAAGATGTAATGCTTTGTGTAAAATAAATGGCTCCTATATAAAATATTAGTGCCTTTCATTTGTATTGTGTTTGACAATGTTTTGCACCATCAATAAATTAACCACCTAATTCCTTTCACTTGTCGTTCGTGACACTTGTATGTGTATTTCTTTGTGTTTGTATAATTAATCCCATTACTGTATGTTTTTGTTAAGTAAAAGTTGTTCATTAATCCATATATTTTGTTTTCTGGGATACCACCTCTCTCTTATGATATGTAGCTCAGTGATCTCGTAATAGAATTTGAGAAATTTAAAAGATTAATACTTGTATCCCCATTTAGCATTCCTTGTCCATCAAATTCGTAAAGTAAGCAAAACGAATTAATGTAAAGTTGAATTAAACACTTAGGCCATACGAATCTCGTAGAAACCAAAATAGTTTTACATATTCTGGAATTTTTACACCATCTCCTTTATAAAACGCTTTGTAAGTGGCGGATGCTGCTGGCTGGTCCTTTTTCTTGTTACCATTTATAAATTTGGAATGGTTTGTTTGTTTGTTTGTAGTTAAGCACAAAGCTACACAATGGGCTATCTGTGCTCTGCCCACCACGGGCATCGAAACCCGGATTCTAGCGTTGTAAGTCCGCAGACATACCGCTGTGCCACTGGGGGGTAATTGGGAATGGCTACATCTAAATCTTAGAGTTCGATGACGAGGAACCCACTTTGA